TCTTGAACAAAAAGAAAATTATTCGCAAAGAGAAGGCCTTCCAGGAACAGTCAGAAATCAACATAAGGCGTCTGCATTCAGCCAAGTCAGACAAAGTAACCGCTAAAATACTTTGAGGGCTGACATACAGAGGACTAGGCAATGGGAAGGTCATTTGGTATTATGTATATAAACAAGGGGCAAGTTGAACCTGAACAACATTCAAAAGATCACGGACAATTGGCCCATGGTGCAAGGGTTTGATTATAGATATGGCCCGTCTTAACCATGATATATATGCCTTGTCAATCCATTTCCAGGGCCTGCTCAGTAAGACTAGAGCATACGTGCTATGAAGCGCTTGATACAGATAATTTGGAATAACGTTTCGAGTAACACATTACCCAAGTAAAATCGCTAACTGGGGAGTTAAGAAACGGATCCTTCAGGGTGAGGGTGAGACTTAAATAATATCAGGCTGAAGTAGATTGCAGACTGAAATGACTAATTTGAATCAACATTTCCATCAGAATTGGGGATATGAAGAAACCAGAAGCGATTGTGAATAGCCCTCCAGACAGAAGGACACACCTCTGGAGTTGGTTGTAATAAACAAGTTATGGTAGTGAAGGCGGCGATATGAGGATATGGGTGGATGCTTCGGGACCGAAGGTGAAAATTAGTCGTGAGGTAAAATTCACATGTCTCTTTTGACGAATTCTAGTTTGTTGCTAGGATTGACAAGGCTTGCTGAAGATCCCGACTACGATGCCGGCGAAACATCTGGGAATATGCATAACCCACAGTCCGATTCTGGACATATCAGGGCTACTATAACAGAAGACTTTGTGTAAGGTACGTTTATCTAGGTCTTTGCCAATATGGCCTAGGTGCGAAAACGAGTTCAACTCACTATCAGATTGTTATTTTTATATATAATAACTGCCCATATATTCTGGATTAGAATTTTGGTGTTACAGCTCATCATGATTAAATCATCTATTTAGCATTTAACCGAAAACAGGAAATGCTTTGATTTTTTAATTTTGTGAATCAGGCTTAGCCTCTCAACTTAGCCATATATGGCTGCATACTTCGGAAAATAGAGCTAGCTTATTTCGTTTAAGAAGATGAAGGACTGGTAGTTGAATTCTTCCCCAATGCATGAGTAGAGCCGACTTTTTTTATTGAATTTCACCTAGCCTTGCTTTCCAAAAATTGTGGTCTTATCCGGGGTGGTCTAGCTTCGAATTTGCCTAGGCACTATAAACACCCCCAGCGGGACTCGAACCTTCAGAGTGTGGCAGATAATCTCGACATATTAACCACTATGCCACATTACCACGAGTGTCCTTGAGTTACAAAGCAGATGCGAATTTCAAGGAAGGCGGGACATTTTCCTATATCACATCCTTTGGTCGATGAGGCAACACTATATTTGCTTTTACAATATACTACATTACTTATTTTAGTTTATAAATAGGATTTTAAACTAACAGTAATATTAGTTGTATTTATTCTATCTCGTTTAAGGTGATGTAGGTTTGGTAATTGAATTTTCTCACATTGATATCATTAAAGCTGACTTCCATTAAATTTCACATATCTTTTTAATTTTAGTATTAGACCCTACTTATAAATGAAATAAGTAATGTAGTTCATTATTATAGCAAATATAACTTTGCTTCATCGACAATCTCACCAAAGGATGTGATATAGGAAAATGTCTGACCTTCCTTGAAACGCATATCTGTGGCAATATGGCATAATGGTTAATGTGTCAAGATTACATGCTGCACTTTCATGGTTCAAGTATTGCTGGGTTTGTTGATAAGACCTAGGCGAGGTTGAAACGGCAGTCCACTAGGGAGGACACCTTTTAAGAAAGCAAGACTACGTGAAATTTAATGGTAGAAGATATGAAGACCAAGATGTTGTAGCCTCTGTTATGGCCGCAGTCTCCCTTCGATTTATAGAAGTGGGTTGACCTCGTCGCAACTTGGTCTTGTGTTCATGGAGACTATGTAGAACGTACCGAGTCCGAAGTCGTCTGTCATAGTAGTTGTCTTGATTGCCAGCATCTGACATGGGACTTGATACATTCTCGAACGTTTCGCCGCTGATGATGCCGACTACGATGCCGGTGAAACGTTTGAGAATGTATTAAGTCCACTGTCAGATGCTGGGAATCAAGACAACTACTATGGCAGACGAATTCGGACTCGGTGCGTTCTACATAGTCTCCATGAACACAAGACCAAGTTGCGACAACCCACTTCTTTAATTGTAGAGTTTGCTTTGCTCATATCGTTGTTGGAAAATTCAACTACCATTCCCTCATCACCTTAAGCGAAATAGGGTGAATACATATCATATTACTAGTAGTCTCGAAACCCTACATAATTATTTATTCGATTGTTTGCTAGGGATCTCAATTAATTATTTGTTCTTAAGCCTTAAGTATTACTTTAATTCTCTTTAAATTTGATTCACCCTTTTTAGACCGAAGATTTAGGAGACACTGCAGTTGTGGTTACTGATCCTCTTCGGCTAACCGTCTCAGCAATCCTTATGCTTGGTCGTCCATTTGGCGTCGACCTTATAGTGCCTGGCACTGGGATCCATATGAACGCTGGACTTACACTATTCGGTAGTGGCCGTGGCGGGGGAAAGCCTGTTGGGCGCCCACTTGTGCCGCTCGGACCTGTCTATGCAACAATTTCGCGGTTGAAATGCGGAATCCGGCTTGGCGCTGCCTCAAGTGGCGGGCTCTGGGGCTTATTAGATCTAGTTCAGGTTGGATTTATTTTTCTCAAACG